ACTCAGAAGGATTAGAACTGAAGATCAAAGTTTGAAACCAGCCTGAGCAGAAAAGTCCATGAGAATATTATCCCCAATTAAGCACCAAAAAAATGGAAGTGGAGCTGTGGCTCAAGTAGTAGGGAGCTAGCCTTGAGGACAGTGCCTAGGCTGAGTTCAAGCCCTAAGACTGGCACCAATTATTTTTTAAAAAATTTTAAAAGACAGGAGGATTGAAATTCAAGTATAGGCCAGCCCTCCCCCCCCCCAAAAAAAAGTGACACCCAATCTTGAAAAACAGGCGAAACAAGTTGGAAGCACACCTATAATCCCAGCTACTCCAAAGGCAGAGGCAAAAGGAGACTACTCTGAGCCTGGCAAAAGCACAGGACTCTATCAAGAAAAATAAATTGAAGTAAAAAAGATCTGAGGAAAGTGGAGGCGTGGTAAAGCATCCACCTCAATTGAACAAGCCAAGCAAGAATGTGAGCCTCTGAGTTCAAGTACCAGTACAGGCACAAATAAAGAAAAAGGGCTCAAAGATAGTTTAATTGGTAGAGTACCTGCCTAACTCAAGGCCCTGAGTTCAAACCCAATTACCATTAAAAAAAAAAAAAGTCAACTGCTCTTCCTCTGAGGAAAAGCCATGAAGAACACACAACCAGGAGCTATCTACATGCCAGGAAGCAGCCTCTTGTCACATACCAAATCTGTTGATCTATTAATTGTAGACTTCTTAGCCAACTTCTCAAAACTAGGAAAAATAAATGTCATTTCCAACACCCAGTCTATGGTATTTTTATTGCTGCAGCATGAGAAGACTGCCAGAGATAGAAATTTCAGTAATTTTAGTGAGATATTTATGAAAGGAAATGCATTATTTGTACAACTCTAATAGCATGCTGCTAAAGAACTAAAAACCCAAATGAGGTACAAAGAGACATCCACCTAGGAAGAAATAAACCTAGAATGAGAAAATAGGAAGACAAACCACATTAATGGACATGACATCCACAAAGCAACTCCAACCTGCCCGGGAGAACCACTTCCTAGAGACCAGAGGAGTCTCTCAGCTATGAGCCACTATGATCAAGTGCAGAACTGACTCAGGGAACTGGACTAACGACTACAGTCAGAAGTAATTACTCGGCCACCTAATAATCACATATCAACTTTTCACTGCCATAAAGAATTTTGCTGAAAGCTATAAGTAATATAGCAGCAAGCAGCCAAGTTCCTAGAAAGTTGCACAAAAACAGAATTTTTGATAGCTGTTTACATTGCTAGAAAAGTTGACCAAAATAATTCATTCCTCAGTATATCTGATGGAAAACAAATTAATACATACCAGTGAGATGAATCTCCAACATCTATACATGTAACTCAATTACCTGTCTACCAAGTTAGAATAACTACCTCCAAGTATCCTCTTCAACAACTAACTACACTTCTCATACTGTTCATCAATTTCCATTCTCTATTTCTACCCCACTCTTTCATACTTGTGCTCACTCTCTTTGTTCATTGCTTCAGTACATTGCACTGAACACACCAATCCTTCCTCTCTCTACTTTAGGTTTTGTCTGAGCCTAAAGCTCATAAACACAAAGCACCAGGGATTCCATGGGACTCCACTTTGGGAAGTAATGATCTTCTCCAAAATCTTAGTGGCTGCAACCCAACGGGGGTCAACTTTGGAATCTGAGGCTTAGGGTTGCAGCTCCAGTTAGTAAGCAGCCTTAAGAAATTAACCCCAGTAAATGATTTTGTTCTGTAAAAAGGGGGTTAATCCTTTGGCACTCAAAGGGTCCAGAGAAATTTGTTATAGTAACGTCATCTCCGATTTTCATCATTTTTTAAAGTCCCTTACTATGTGTAAACAGTAAATTTCAACTGTGTTTTAATATGAATCAAGCACACACTATATACTCAAATCAAAACAGTCAAGTGTTCTGAAGAATAAACACAAACGAAATATAGTTCCTATCTTGTGGAAGTTCACGATGTTATTAGGGAAATAAAAGTAGCAAAGTCATTAAGAAATAATAAAAGATGAGGCATAAATATGAATATACCAGAAGGCAAGGGTAGAGTACAAACACTGTCAACCCCACTGTCAGGAAAAGCTTCAAAGACAGATATGTAAGATGTAAAAATATGCTTTATGACAAACTCATATTCAAAAATACATGAAGCTACTTACACAGGGCTTACAGGCATTCCTAAGCCATTGCCAAACTGTTACCATCTCCTAAGAATGGCAAGTAGGTTCTGATCCAGCCACAACACACAGAAGACGTGTCAATGTCTTGATGATCTGGGTTCCTCTTATCTGACTGAATCCTCTCTCCTCACTTCACTCAAAGTTCTGTACAAAGGCTTCCCTGACCATCGTCATTATTCTCTGTCCCTTTCCCTGCGTAAGTTTGCTTGTTAGCCTATCAACACCTAATAAAAGTTGTTTGTGTGCTTATTAGACATCCTTTCCCATTAGAATGTTACTTTTGCTGGGCACCAGTGGCTCACACCCATAATCCTAGCAAGACTCAGGAGGCTGAGATCTGAGGGTCACAGTTCAAAGCCAGCCAGGGCAGAAAAGTCCCTGTGAGATTCTTATCTCCAATTAACCACTCAAAAACCAGAAGTGGCACTGTGGCTCAAGTGATAGAGCACTAGCTTTGAGCACAAAGAAGCTCAGGAACAGTGCCCAGGCCCTGAGTTCAAGCCCTACAATCGACAAAAAAGAATGTTACTTTCATGTGAATAGGATCTTTCTTTGTTCATTAATGTGTCCCCTAGGGTTACACAGTGTCTGGATGTTCATTAAACATTAGTTAAATAAATATTAAATATATACATACTCACATATTCTTTTTAACCTTTCAGCCAATTCTCTCCCCACCTAGATTATGTGCAAGACAGGGAATTTGACATATTTTTTTGAAGACAACTTATTCTTATAAGTAGGAAGCAAAGGCCCAAAAACAAGGGCCTTCCCCAGGATAACTAGTCAAAGGCAGAGAAGAGAGCTCTTACGTTTGTGACATGGTATGATGAAACTACATCAGGTATGTGCAAAATGAAAAATGAAGCACATCCATAAATACAAGTGGTAAAAGGAAGACTCTTCTGTGGGACAGTTCTACATTCTCCAACTGTACCCAAGGGACCTAATGCACTCCTACTTCAGCGCATGCCCAAGCCTCTGTACAACGCTCCCTTTCCAAGTTTCACTCTCCTTAGCAGTTTGAAGGCCATCAGGAATAGGCACTAGGCAGAAAGGGGAAGAGGGATGGAGGTTTAACTATTAACTATGACTGATAGAAAAATAAATAAATACGTATGTATAGGCCAGGTGGAACACACCTACTAGGACATGCTCAGGAGCACTTCCAGCCAGTCCTCCCACATTACCATGCAATGCTAACCACCTCACCTGAAGTCTCCCAGTACCCCTCTGCATTTTTTCCCAGGGTCCTGAGCTTTTACATCTCACAATCCCTCTGCTTCTTCTAGTGAGAATAATAGCAGGCAAACAAAATTCAAAAACAAACACCAACAGGGTCATTTTACCTATACAGTAGAAGAAGCAGTGACCAAGAGGTACACAACAAACATGCCTGGCCTAGGACAGCTCCAACTCTAACACAGGAAGTCAGGGAGTGCCTGGAGAAGCAGGCAGAAAAGCACAGGAAGTCTTTTAGCACTGCAGAGATTTCCAAGCTTGGTGTAATGGAGAGAGCACACACAGGAATAGGAATGAGAAGGCCAGGCTCCTAGTCCCAGTTGTGCAACTGGCTAACTAGGTAGCCTTAGGCAAGTCACTAGTCTTTTCTGGACTTTTAATTCCCTATCTATAAAATGAAGTGGTTAAAACATGCTGGGAATTGAGTTCTTCCTCCACTCTCCCCCAAAAAACAAAGATTTTAAAAGGTATTAACTGTTCATAAAAAGACACAGGAATGATCTTCATAAAAAGAGTCTTCCAAGTCTTATGCAGGTTAAGAATTCCTGCAAAAGATGATGATGTCTCTGGTCCCTTCTATCTCTAACATTCTAGGATTCTAAGAGAATTAGATGTCTATGAACAATTGCTGCTTGGTGTACCTCACCATTTCACAGTATATATTCTCTGAATACAGACTAAATCCTAAAAACTCTACCTGACATCCCCCATACCTTGCCTATTCCAGACCCTAACTAGCTAGCTTATCCCTGGAGTCCACAACTCAGAATCCAGTCTACTAACAGCCACAGAAAGTTTTCTTCTATACCCCAGGGCATTCAAGAGACACAAAGTGTCCTAGAGGTGTAGCATGCAATTGAGAAAGTGCAGCAGGGACATGGCTTGTGTCCCTCTTCAGACTCATTAGCGTACGTCACAAAATTAATGAGACAGCACCAGGGTATCCCCACTCTACCAAACTCCGTGCACTTCTCACCCTCCCTCGTGTAACTGATTTAACCCACAATCTAAGCCACATCCCCTTTGGTCTCTCTCTCGAGGTTTTTTGTTTTTGTTTTTTCCCCTTTTTCAACCTTTTCATAACTCCTCTTCAAATGTCTCTCATTCTCCATCCCAGCGAGCGCCCACGGCTGCCCCCAAAGTACCCTTTTCATGGGAGCTTTCCCACCAGGACCCCTGATGGGGGTCCCTGTCCCAAAAGACCCGATTTCCCAAGGAACTAGGGAAGGACTTGAAGAGATGGACTGCAACCCAATCGTGTTCGTTTTTCCCCCCAAAACCTATTCGCTCGTGCGGCCCCTTGTCCTCTCGGGAACCAGGACCCGCCTGGAGACCCTGGGACCCTGCACCCCCTCGCTTCCAAGCCTGAGCTCGCCCACCTTCTCAGCCAGGCCGCGGCCCGCCCCCTCCCATCCCCACCAACCCACCGGGACCCCTCAAGCGTGCCTCCCGCTCCACGGCAGGCTCCTCCCCCTCCACGACAGAAGCCCCGGGGCCGCCCCTTCGGGCCCCGCCCGCACCCCGCGATAACGGGGCGCCCGTCCCGCGCGGTCACCTGCATCCCGCCGCCGTCGGCCGCTGCCTCCTCGGTGCGCGGCCGCTTGCTCAGGCCGGGCTCGGCTCCGTCTCCTCCCGCTCCGGGAACCGGCAGCTCCAGCTCCGACTCCCGCTTCATGCCCCGGGCAGCGGCGCCGGGTCCGAGCTGAGGCAGCTGCTGCGTCTGAGCGCCTTCCGCCATCCGCCCGTGCCCCCCTCGCCTCCGGGAGCCGGGCGACCCGCGACAGGCCACCTCCCCCTGGGCCTCGGCCCCGACTGTCGCGAC